TGTAGATTTTGAATTTGGGCTAGCTGGGCCGCCTGGTGTTAGTCTCTGAGGTTGGGGAGGCCCAATCCCCCCATCTTGTGTGGTATATATAGCGTTGCTCTCTTGATTCTTGCTTTTTTCCCCACCCATATGAATTTGTCGATTCGAGTATGTAGTGACTTGAAGTCCGTCTTAGATATAGGTATGGGTAGGGCCTGGAAGAGGTAGATCCTATCCCCTATAATAGGTAAAAAATGGAAAGAACAAAGGAAATAGGGCGCGCCTTTAATAAAAATTCATAGGTATATGACTAAAAGAATATATACTAAAATAAAATAAAATAAAAATTGAGATAAAAAAGTCCAAATTGATAATCCAAAAATAAATGAAGAGTGTTCTTTGTAGCGTAATGTTGTCTCTTCCCAGATGATGACTTGTATTTTCAATGAGCCATATGTGGAGAAAAGTAAAAGGACAACCAATGGTACAGTATGTAGATAAAGTTGAATATATGTGCAATAAATTAGAATTACTCACAATTTACAGAGCTAAAATCCAGCTCTGGTTTGAAGTGCGTGAAGTGGAATGATCCCCACTCAAGTATATATGGAGCAGTGACTTGCGAAATAAATGGTCCACCGAGGATTCCGACCGAGAATAAAGACAGATAAAAGTATATAGTGCTCATTGTATGATTTAAGTATAAAAAAGAAGTATGAAATGTACTCACAATATATTGAGCATTCTTCTCTGCTCAATTTTTAGCGTATGGGTGGTATAATCCCCACCTAAGGATTTTTCATGAGTCCGTGTTGGTTCAGGTTAGTCAGGTATAAAAAAATAAAATTAAATTAAATAAAAATAGGAATGTGGCAATAAAGTATTTGAGGCCCAAATTCCTTTATTATGACAATATAAGAACTATTAAAACAGATTCTAAACATGTTTCGCCCACAACAGGCTTCTTCAAGTAGAATAATAGTAAAAGCAGTAACCTGACTAACAATGCTTTATATAGGGTATACTAAGTATACTGGAATTTGAATATTCCCGCCAAAATGACGTCATCACAAACTTCATTTTAAGATACATATCAAAATAAAATAACAATAACATAAAGGATTAGTATATACATATATAAATTAATTGCATACATAATATTTGGAAAACGAAATGTAAAAGTTCCAGACGAAAGTCACATGACGCGGGGCACAAAATTGCTTCCGCGTCACGTGGGTATAGTGAAACGCATGCGTTCCATAGTAATGGAACGCATGCGTACGGAGACAGAATGCCGGCCGGGTGGGATCAAAGAAGCCCCACGTCACCAGAGGGGAGGAGTCCTCCGGTGATCGTGAGGGCTAGGGGCAGGCTGTAAGCATGCCGTCTGTTCAAACAGACAAACAGACAGCATGCTATTGAGAGTGAGCAGCCAGATCCCCAGTTGTAATACATAGAGGGCACATAAATGTAGCCACATAGACAGATGTTGTACAATAAATCATAAAGGTATATACATATACAATAAAAGGCTTATATAAACAGGAGCAAAGTGTTAAAAATATATCAAAGATGTTTCTATTAAAAATATATATAAAGGAAAAAAGATATATGTATAAAAAATATATATATAAAAGTTATATAGAATGTAATATAAGCTAAATATAAATGTTAGAATTATATAAAAAGAATTAATTAAAATACAGAAATATATATATCATACTTAAGTTGATTTTTAATTAAAATACATAAATAAAAAGGGAAAGGTGAATGCAATGAAAGTTTAAAGAAAGATTAAATTGATTATAAAAAATTATAAAAAATTATTATAACATTTTTTTATAAAAAATTATTATAAAAAATTAAAAAGATCAAAGTCTATATTGAGACCTTGAGGGGTAAGGGTTTTTAAATTAAATGCCCATTCCATTTCTTTACTACCTAAAATCTTTTTTATATCTCCACCTCTCCAGGTATCTATACCTATGCATTTCAAAAGTTTAGGATTTTTGCCATATATTAAGAAGTGTTTAGATACTGAATGGTTCTCATAACCTTTTCGAATATTTTGGCAATGTTCTGCCAATATAATTTTTAATTCTCTGGTGGTCATGCCCACGTATTGAAGTCCACATGGGCATTCTAATAAATAAATTACGTTTTTAGAACTACAATGGATCAAGTCTTTTATAGGGTATGTTCTTTTAGTAATGGATGACTTAAAGGAGGTAGTTTTTGATTTAATACTCTCATCCGTATGTTTGAATACTATGCATTTATTGCATTAAAAAAAAAACCTTTGGGCTTATTAAGAAAGGGGAGGGGGCAAAAGGAAGAGGTATTTTGATTCTGTTTGGTATAGTTCTTTGTAAGGATGGATTTAAAGCTAGGTGCCCCTCTGAATATAACTTGTGGTTTTTCGGGGACAATCCCAGCTAGAATCTCATCCTGTTTTAATATATGCTAATGTTTCTTAATAATCTTCTTCATAACATTATTTTTGTTATTGAAGTCGAAAATAATTGGCAATGATGGAGCATTCTTAGAGGTTTTATTATCTTGATATTCTAAGAGATCCAATCTATCTCTTTCTCTAACATTTTTAATGGCTTGATTTAAGTTATTAGTAGGATAGTTTTTTTGCGAAAATGTACATAATAGCGTATGGGATTGGTCTTCAAAGTCTTGGGTAAGAGAACAATTCCTTCGCAGACGGAGGAACTGACTTTTGGGTATTCCATGTAGCCATGGTTTATAGTGACAGCTGGATATATCAATTACATTATTTGTGCAGACTTTTTAAAAAAAAGTTTTGGTATGAACCTCATTGCCTTGAATAAAAATTTCTAGATCTAAGAAGTGTATAGCGGATTGGCTGTATTCATGTGTTAAAACTATACCATTGTTGTTTTGATTTAAAAAAAATAAAAACTGATTAAGAGAGCTTTCTGTACATTCCCAGATAAAAAACATATCGTCGATATATCTAAAATATGTGACCAGGCTTGTCTTCCAGTCATGCTCCCCAAAAAAGGCTGTAGCTTCCCACTCTGCCATAAAGATGTTGGCATAACTGGGCGCAAACCTGGTCCCCATAGCACTACCTTGTTTCTGTAAATAAAAAAACCCAGAAGTAGTTATTTTTAAAAATAATGTTAATACTTTCTATTGTAAAACTAATCTGTTGGTCTGGGATTCTGTTTTCTGCCCTTAGAATTTTTTCCACAGCGGAGCACCCTTTATCATGAGGGATAATAGTATACAACGATTGTACGTCACAAGTAACTAAAAAATAAGTGTCTTTCCAAATAAAATTATTTTTTTTAAAACGGAGTAAAGTCATGGAATCTTTTAAGTACGATTTCATACATTTGACAGAGGGTTGTAAGAGGATATCTAAATATTCGGATAGATTTGATAAAATGGAATTTATCCCTGATACAATAGGCCTACCAGGAGGGTTTTTATCATCTTTATGGATTTTTGGTAAGAAATAAATAACTGGAATTTTTGGATAAGAGACATTTAAAAAATCGTATTCTTGTTTGTTTAAAATCTTTTGGTCCCGGCCTATATTTAAAAAAGAAGTTAAAATTTGCTGGACTTTTGAAGTCGGATCTCGTGGTAATTTTTCATAAACCATATGATCATTGAGTTGTCTCATAGCTTCTCATAAAAAATCCTTAGGTGGGGATTATACCACCCATACGCTAAAAATTGAGCAGAGAAGAATGCTCAATATATTGTGAGTACATTTCATACTTCTTTTTTATACTTATATCATACAGTGAGCACTATATACTTTTATCTGTCTTTATTCTCGGTCGGAATCCTCGGTGGACCATTTATTTTGCAAGTCACTGCTCCATATATCCTTGAGTGGGGATCATTCCACTTCACGCACTTCAAACCAGAGCTGGATTTTAGCTCTGTAAATTGTGAGTAATTTATTGCACATATATTCAACTTTATCTACATACTGTACCATTGGTTGTCCTTTTACTTTTCTCCACATATGGCTCATTGAAAATACAAGTCAGCATCTGGGAAGAGACAACATTACACTACAAAGAACACTTCGTTTATTTGTGGAAAATCAATTTGGACTTTTTTATCTCAATTTTTATTTTATTTTATTTTAGTATATATTCTTTTAGTCATATACCTATGTATTTTTATTAAAGGCACGCCCTATTTCCTTTGCTCTTTCCGTTTTTAACCAGTGTCAGTAGGAGGTCATCCGCATAGGCTGCTATCTTGTATTCTTCTTTGCAGAGTTTAATGCCAGTTATGGTTTCGGTCTGACATATTTTCTGGAGGAGGGGTTCCAAGGACAAGGCAAGAGGAGGGGGAAAAGAGGGCAGCCATGTCGTGTGCCATTGTCGATCGTGAAGGAGCGTGGGTGGGGCGTTATGGATTAGGAGGTTCGCTGTGGGGTGGGAGTATAGTCCCCTAATCATATCTGTGAAGGCCGCTGGGAAGCCCATTTTGTCGAGGGTTGCGAATAGGTAGGGCCAGAGTATGCGGTCAAATGCTTTCTCAGCATCTAGGGAGAGGACAATAGTGGGGTGTCGTCGTTGGTTAGCTATCCAGATTAGGTTTTACATTCTTCTGCTGTTGTCACTTGCTTGGCAGTATGGGATGAATCCCACTTGGTCTGGGTGGATCAATTTGGGAGGAATGGGTGTAGTCGGTTGGCTAATAATTTTGTAAAGAGTTTGATGTCAGTGTTTAATAGTGAGATTGGTGAGAATGGTGAGATTGGTCTAATGTGGCCTGGGTGGTTTTTATCGGGTTTCGGGAGTAAGCATATGTTGGCCCTCAGCATGTCCGGGGGGGGGGGGTTTCCGTCCATAATGGAGGTGAATAATGATAGGAGATGTGGTAGGAGTAACGTTGGGTACGTCTTGTAATAAAGTCTGGGGAATCCGTCGGGGCCTGGGCATTTATTTGGCTTGAGGGTTTTCATCGCTTGTGCGATCTCTTCGGGGGTGATGGGTGTACTAAACGTTTTCCGGCCATCATCTGTGAGTGAAGGCATGGGGATGCGTTCCAGAAATGTAGAGAGAGGCATAGTAGTCTTGGAAGACGGTCGCTGTTTGGTGTGGTAGAGTGCGTAGCTGACCGTCGGGTGCTTGTATTTGGGTTATTTGTTTGGATCGTTGCCGTTGGCGGCGCCTGCGAGCTAAAAGTGTGTCTGCTTTGTTCGATTTTTCGTAAAACATTTGTCTCGTCCATTGGAGTGCTTTTTTTGAGTCTTGTGCCATAAATTTCTGTATTTCTTGTCTGTGTGTCTGTAGTTGGGCCATTAGGGCAGGGCTGGGGTCCGTTTTGTGTTGTAGTTCTGTGGTTCTGAGGGCAGTCAGTTCTGTTTCTAGTTGCATTAGTTGTTGTTTTTTGTGTGACGTGGCCGCCGCGATTAGTTTGCCCCTTATGGCGGCTTTATGGGCTGCCCAGAGGGTGCTCGCGGAGGTGACTGAGTTTTTATTAATTTCGAAGTAGTCAATGATGTCCTTCCGAATGGCTTCTTTAATGTTCGTGTTGTGGAGGTGTATAGGGTTGAGTCTCCACGACCACGTTTTGGTGGTGTGTGGGATGGTGAATTGAAGGAGAATGTCTGCGTGGTCCGACCACGTGATTGAGCCTATTGTTGCATTTGTGACGTATGGGAATAGGGAGAGAGTTGTAAGGAACATGTCGATGCGTGAGTAGGAGGAGTGGGGGTGAGAGTAGAAGGGGAAGTCTGTGGTGGTTGGCTGTAGTATTCTCCATGTGTCCAGTAGTTGTGTGCGTGTTACGAATGCTTGCAGCATCTTGTCTGTCCGGGTGGCCAGTGGGGGCCGCGAGCTCAAGTTATTTGGCCGCTGTCTATCTGCCTCGGGGTACATGGTTGCGTTGTAGTCTCCACCTATGATCATGTGATGCGAGGGAAAGAGGCGGAGGTGGGCCTGTAGGGCATCCCAGAAGTTGGTGTCTGGGAGGGTAGGGGCGTAGACTGAGGAGGAGGTGTATCTGGGGGGTCCAATGTGACCTACTAATGTTATATATCTGCTTTGTGGGTCGGCAATGGTGCGCGTGAATTCTAGAGGTCAGGTGTTGCGGTTCATAATGGCTACCCCGTTTTTTTTCACTATTGGCACTCCCGATAATGCCTGTTTAGGAGGGGGCATGCTCTGGATTGTTCGTAGCGGGTTTCCTGGGGTAGGATGACGTCAGCCGCGGAGCGTTTGGCCCACCGGAGCAGGCGGTGTCTTTTGTTTGGATTGTTAAGGCCTTTGCAGTCTATATAAAGGCATGTGAGCCATGCAGGTTTGGTCCCTGGTTTGCCTCTGGGTCACATGGCGGGCCCCTGCACAGGGTGTTGCGACATGTGGAGGGAGTGCTGGGAGGGCAGAGAGAGGAAGGGGGAGAGAGAAAGAAGAAGAAGAGAAGAAGAAGAAAAAAAGGGATAAGAGGGAAGGGAGAAGTGGGGCGGAAGGTCGGGGGCTAGGGTAGAGGGGGTGCTGGTGTTAGTAGTGTGAGTCAGTGTCTGGGGTCGGTTAAGTGTATAACCTGGTCTTATGTCAGTGTTGCCAGGTCGTCCTGGGTGTGGCTTGTGGTCGTTTGTGTCTCTGTCGGTCCTGCGTGGGCGTTGGTCCGGTGTAGGGGGGGGTGAGGAAGAGATCGTCCGTGTATGGCAACGTCTCTCTCTTCCCTAAGTTTAGCCCTATCGGCTTGTGTACAAGTCGGTTGTCAGTAAGTAGAGAACAGTTAGTGTGTATCATTCGGGGTCTCACGTTGTCCCCTTTTGGGGTGTTGTGAGTGTTGTGGGTATCTTCATGCATTTGTCACCCCGTTTGGTGGTGGTGAGGTCCAGGCCTGGACTGGCCATCGGGCACACCGGGCAAATGCCCGGTGGGCCGCGATGTCCATGGGCCGAGGCTGGCAGGGGAGGTCCCAGGATCCGAGCGCCGGCCCCGCTGTTTTTCATGAAGGGCCGGTGGGGAGATCAAAGATCTCCCTCACCGGCCCACATGCTGTATAATGTGGCCGCCGGCGGGGAGAGAGGGAGGGAAACAGCCAGGAGAGAGGACCCGGCGGAGCTCTAACTTAAAGCTCCGCCGGGTTCCTCTTGCGAGATCCGGCGCGTTGCCATGGCAGCGACCGGATCTCGCGAGAGTGAACTCTAGCCCCACAGGCTATGCGGGCTAGAGTTCACTCACCACGAGGACCACCAGGGAACACTTCCACCCCGCCTCCCAGTCACCAGTGTGCCGGTCCCCCCCTCCCAGGCTAAAGGTAAGAGGGGGGGGGACATAATGCCTGCTTAGTTTATTTGTTTATTTATCCCCCCCCCCTACACACGCACAATCCATTTTAACATTTATACAGCACTCTCTCACACCCATCACACACAGCACTCTCACACCCAGCACTCTCTCACACCCATCACACACAGCACTCTCTCACACAGCACTCTTACACCCATCACACACAGCATTCTCTCACACAGCACTCTCTCACACCCATCACACACAGCACTCCCACACCCAGCACTCTCTCACACCCATCACACACAGCACTCTCTCACACAGCACTCTCTCACACCCATCACACACAGCACTCTCACACCCATCACACACAGCACTCTCACACAGCACTCTCTCATACAGCACTCTTTGCACAGAGTTGTGTTCTGTATCAGAGAAGTCCCATCCCTTTGTTTGTTTGCCTTGTTGCAGTAGTGGGATCGTCTCATAAAGGGGAGCGGTGCCCTGTGCCCCCCAAAAATCCCCTCCCTCTGGGTAACACATATGGAGTTTACAACATACAGGTTAGGGCAATACAATACCAGTCAGCAGGGTGGCGTATGCAATTTCAGGTTACCAGTATATCAGAGTCCGTGTACCTTCATTTCTTTCGAGCACTTGGGGCCATGGGGCTCCGTCGGGAGTTCCCAGTTGGTGCGGGAGGAGCTCTGCGTGACTTGGGTATGCAGGTCCGGGTCTGGGGGGTATCCCAGATGGGGGTTCCCGTGGTTGGTAACTGCGTGGAGGTTGTCAGGGGGCAGGTTGTTGGGGAATCATCTTGTGTTTTAACTCCAGAAAACAGTTAAATACTACACTGTATTGGGTTTATGTATATTTATGTGCCATTTTTTGTGTTACAATACTTAGGGAAACCATGAAGACAATCTGCCTGTTCATGTGTTTAAGTAGTACACAAGCTGCCTGCATAAGTGTATTTTTTGTCCCTTGGTTTGGTTTCTACAACTGCCCATTTTTTTCTTATTCCTAATTCTGGATTTACTTGTGTAAAGTCAAGGTGTGTTTGCACAGAGTTGTGTTCTGTATCAGAGAAGAGCTGCAAAGGGCAGAACTTATAACAATGGCTGACAGGAAATAAAGATGGAGATGAACAGTTCCAGGATATACATTCTATACAATTAACTGTATAAATAGGAGGTTAACATAAAATTATAAATCCTGAGAAGTGATAAATACCCTTTACTATTGAAAGTGAATGGATTGATAATGGATGTTGTGCACTGCTAAGTACACAGGTTTCAATTTATGATAAGTAATTACTTTAACACCACGTGCCAGTTAACCTAGAGCCAGCCTTCTATTTCTACAGGGCATCCATTTAATGCTTCTGTTTTTCACAGGGTTAGGTAAACACCAGACTGTTAACTGGTAAATAAAGCCCTTTAGTGTACTGTGCATTTATTTTTATTTTGTCTGAAAAACCTTGGTCATGGAGCTGCCACTGTCATTGTTATTGACAAATTTACAATCTAGGATTCCTATAGTAAATAACACAAGGGAAAAACAGGGAAACTCAGTTCTCTCTGTGCTGATGTCTAATTTTCCAATAACTACTCACCAAAGCTAACCTGTATATATTAACCCCTTAAGGACTGGACTGTTTTTGCGATGTTGTACATTTGCGACCAGGCATATTTTTACACTTTTGTGGTGTTTGTGTTTGGCTGTAATTTTCTGCTTTCTCATTTACTGTTCCCATACAAATTATATATTGTTTTTTCAGGACAAAAGGGGCTTTCTTTACATACCATTATTTATATAATCTCATGTATTTTAATTTAAAAAAAAATACAAAAATCTGATGAAAAATTGAAAAAAATACATGTTTTTTGACTTTTACTTGAAAAATCTTTTACTCATCTACAAAAGCGAATGAAAAAAACTGCTAAATAGATTCAAAATTTTGTCCCGAGTTTAAAAATACCTATTGTTTACGTGCTTTTTTGCTTTTTTTTGCATGTTATAGGGCTATAGGTACAAGTAGGATATTGCGGTTTCAAAACATACATTTTTAAAATTTATCAATAGTGACATTGTAACAATATTATCTGTCATAAATCTCTGAATAACACCCCACATGTACATATTTTTTTTAAAGTAGACAACCCAGGGTATTCAATATGGGGTATGTCCAGTCTTTTTTAGTAGCTACTTAGTCGAAAACACTGGCCAAAGTAAGCATTCATATTTGTTTGTGTGTGAAAAAAGTTAAAAAACGAAATTGAACGCTAATTTTGGCCAGTGTTTGTGACCAAGTGGTTACTAAAAAAGACTGGACATACCCCATTTGCAATACCTTGGGTTGTCTTCTTTTGCAAATGGTATGCCATCATGGGGTAATTCTCATTCCTGGGCTACCATACGCTCTCAAAGGCAACGTAACCAACCTGGCCATTTTCAATGTAAAAATATTTGACCCATATATTTGACCTTGTAACTTTCAAAAATGCTATAAAACCTGTACATTGGGGGTACTGTTTTACTCGGGAGACATCGCTGAACACAAATATTAGTGTTTAAAAACTGGAAAATGTATCACAACAATATCATCAGTAAAAGTGCTGTTTGTGTGTGAAAAATGCAAAAAAAGTAACTTTCACTGACAATATCATCGCTGTGATATGTTTTACTGTTTTGAATCACTAATATTTGTGTTCAGCTAAGTCTCCCGAGTAAAACAGTACCCCCCATGTACAGGCTTTAGGGTGTCGTAGAACGTTACAGGGTAAAATACAGTGCTAGCAAATTAAATTCTCTGGACTTTCGGCCTGGGTTGGCAGGCAGGTCCCTCAAATTGCAATCAATAAAATTACTGAATTATGTAAAAATATTACATAAATACGCACGTAGAATTTAAATATATATGCATATTTATATATTTGAAGTCTACGCGTATATTTATATAATTATTTATGTAATTTTGTATATGGACGTATGTATATTTCTTATTATTTTTATTTATTTTTATATACATAGATATATATACAAATTCATTCTAAGTGTATTTTGATATAAATATATATATATTAATTTTAAAATACAGTTAGAATAAAATTTCATATAGCTATATAATTTTT